ATACATACCATCAAAAAAAATCCATTTTCATTTTTTGATAATACTTTTAAGGCTGTTTCAGTCATCAGTTCTAGTGATGGTGTATCTAACATCTTTTTATTTCTAGTATATTCCATTGGCATTGCTCCGTTTGAAAATAATCCTAAAAAATAAAATATAAATGCTTTTATTAACTTATTCCTTGGATCTGTTTAAAAAAAAAAAAAAAACAAAAATAAAGAATGAAAGTTTTAATGTTCTTGTTTATCAATTAAAAACTAAATCACTGAAAATATGCTATAGTATCCAGTTACTTTAAAATCAATAATAGTCAATTAAGTGTTGAATTAGTTCATGTTATAGCAATAAAAATGTAATTCTAGTGTTACTAAGTTAACTATGTCACTGGAAAATATTTGTTAATCACTGTAGCATAATATAGATCATAAAGTTATTAGAGATTATCAACAAGTGGTTTCATAGATTATAATAGATGACCACCAAAAAAATTTAAAATRAAATAAACATTTTATACAATCAAAATTGAAATAAAACAATAATATTAAATTTTATTATATACGTATAGATACCTATATTTATAAATTTTTCTATGTATAATATGTATCTAATATCTTATAGTGTTATATGTATATAATTATTGGCAACAATCTCATTTTTTTTTTTTACTTTAACCCGGTATCGACAGGTAATAATACAGCTTAATAATATATTGGTTGAGTAATAAAATCTTTATTTATTATTCTAACTCTATCATTAACTCTTGCACGATTATTCTCATATGTACATAGGCTATAGCTGTGTATGCATTATGAGGTTCATTTGGTTTGATAYAACTTATGAGACTCTGTGCTGGTCCACAGAACACATAATAAAGCATTCATTATGTTAGTAGGTTACCTACTCACCTAAAATGTACTCTGTCTGTTCCGTGTCCAACAATTTTATATYGTTTACATTGGTCAAGAACTGATGCGACAAGTTGTTGGACTGTTTGTTGTCTATCCACTCACGGATCAGATCTCTGCGATCCGATCGCACACATAAGGATTTTTCGACGGTTTCCTTTTGGTTCGACGGTGAATTAGATTCGAACGATTTCCTGCCGCCGCCCATTATAACCTGTTTACGAAAAATAATATTCGGTACACTGTATTTTATATAAATAGTGTTATGGTGGACACGCAATATCCCGGCTACAATGTGAAGTCGACCAGATTCAAAAACATATACATTTATTTTCGCTTTAAATATTTCTATAATTGTAACGTTTTAAAATAAACCGACCGTAGTCAGCATATGTAGTAAATTACCTTTGACAGGTAAGTGTCAGAGGTAACTATATTATAATATTATAATTATATTATGCTCAGTGTTAGAAGTATGAAAGATTTGAAACATGTTTTGTGAAATATTTCATTCGAAACATTTCTTTATGTGATGAAATATTTYACAAAAACGTGTAACATTGAAATTTTTTTGATTCAAAATATATTACCTAATGMCGATTATTTATCAATAACCTAACCAAAAAAAACCATTGCTAATGAGTATTTATAAGTGATTGTTTTCCCTATAATATTATAAAATTGTGAAGGTAAGTTATGACCATTATATAGGTATAAAAATAAAGCTCATCTAAAAATTCATATATGTTATAAATTTATAATACTAAGACATTTTATGAAATTTTTCATAATTTTAAATTTCATGACATTTTTAAACACTAGGTACATAATATGTAGCATATTATGCTATACCTACCTACCTATTTCTACATCAGCGTAAAGAGTTTCTTTGCGAGCGACCTATATAGGTATAATATTATCAAAGAAGATAAATGAAGATTTGTTAAGTAGGAAATTCGGAGATTACGTCACAATAATAAAAGCGCAGACATTAAAAATATAGTGCTTGCATTGAGTGTTGTGTGGAATGTGGATATGTTAAATTAGATTTATATGRTATAAAATCATTGTGTGCGAAAAACGATTCTGAGTGAAAATGGTCTGCCAATCTATATTTGGTATTA